CCCCTCACCAGACCCGGGGGTGGCCCCATAGCATACCCATAGACGGCGCGCGCTTGCGCGTTGCTCCCCGACCATGCTCTTGTGCCCGTCGCGTACGTAGACGAATAGGAACGTGTCCTGAAGGACTTGACACTGCAAACCGCCCAAAAGCAATGCTCAAACATGATGACTGTTCCGCTTTTTAAAAATGGCATTTGGAGACATTTTTATGGTTGACGCTTTTATCATGGGTTTTACTGATTTTTTTTATCGAGCCCTAGTGCGATATCTTTGCCGATAGGGCTCTGTTAATATCGCTTAGATAACGTAGCCTTAGAGTTAAAGCGTGACACATCTCTTTCCCCTTTTCCCCTTTTTTTAAGTCACTCTTTTTATTACGGCTCTGCTCTCTCCACTGCTACTTTTTTTTCCTCCGACCTCCCACGCCGGAAGAAGGGTGTATAATCAGTCGATTGATTATGAGTGAACACTGGTGAACACTGGAAAGCCACGCAATGCGAGTGTCCGTATCGACAGAGTCCAAAAATGACGTTGGGTGAATCATACCACCCAGTGGTGACGTTCCCTTGGCCGTACTCTTAAACAGACGAGTGGCTTTCTGAATGTGGCCATCAAGCGTACCACATAGCGCCTGCGACGCGCTGGGTAGGCCAACCCGCCAAGCACCTGTGTGAAGACGGCGGCCCATCCAGAGCGGAGGGCTTCGGCTCGGGCTTCTGGCGCGGGTAAACTAATGTTAGACGCCCCACGTTCTCTTCTGTCACCTTAGTGCTCCTCGTGCGGGCGCGGACACTGGTAAACGACACAGGGTTCCACATATTTTTCAGCTCCGTTTTGAATGCTGACCACTGTGCCGTGTCGTTCTTATTTGGCGCCACAGCGGGCAGAGAAGCAATCGCGCCAACTTGGTCAGTACAAGAGGCGATCCGACCTAGAAGTGCAAATCCTCTACGTCCAAGTATAATTAAAATTAACGTTTAAAACCACTTAAGTAATTTTCTTTCTGTTGGTTATAACCCACTTAGATCATTTCCAGTGTTACATAAACGATCGGTTTTATCGTAGAGTTATGGCTGCACCCACACGGCCCGCAACAGCTGAGGGTTTGTTTTGTATTCTTCAGCCCACCCATCCATCCGTCCATAACCCTCGCAGCTGTGCGTTTCTCGACTCATTCACGAAGTGACAGAAGTGGCATAAGAAGTGATGGCGGGCCACAGCTGTTCGCACTATTTTCGCCTAGTCATTAGCAGCCTCGGCGTGCTGGCGGGCCTTCTGGCATGTGTTGCGTTTTCTGTCATGTACCATCATGTCGTAGCATCAGTCCTCGCTTTTATATCAGGTAGGTGTCTCCTGTAGAGGTTAGGGTCGATTACCTCATATCGCAACATCTGATTCTGTCATCAGTCGCTTTATCAGCTGTTCGCTCGGTACACTGTCGTGCATTTTCTAGAAACAGCTGTAAAGCCAGAAATTTTGCATTTAAAGTATCTGCAGAACATCAATCTTTGTTGTATGTCTGGGGAATAGGGGATTGTTGTTTGTGATAGTAGAAGTCATATAGCCCTCATAGCATTAGAAAAAAAACTTCAAAATTATATTAAATTATTTGCAGTGCTGCTTTCTTGTGCATTATGGTCACCTCTTTGTTCTTGTTCCTTTCTTGAAAAGGTCAGGGATCACCTTCAATTCACTGTGTACTCACTCGTTGGGTTTGAAAGCTGCAGTTCTTCCTTAAATGTCTGCTAATTTTAAAGAATGTGTTTTCTTATCAATTTTGTTTCTTTTCTTTAAGCTGTGTTTGCTGCAGTGTGCTTAACATTGCACATCCTTCACCATCGTAATATCTTAGCGGTATGGCACTCGCCAGACACACTTGGTGACATATCCAAATTGGGATTCTGTGTTTTAAATATTGGGTTTTCTCTAACAGCATGGTATATTTTTGATATACTTTATCATCACCGAGGTAAGATGCACATGTGTGTATGCATATATTAATTATCTTGATTCTTGCGGTTTCTAATTTGTTGTTGTGATGTGTTCCAGCCATGATGCCTATCGAAGACAGCCCATACATTTCAGCAGTTTGGGCATTCATGACTGGGAAGTGGGGCCTAATGCTGTGGTTAGACAGTCGGAAATATGCAGCTTTGCTGGGATCTGGTTCTCTTCTGGCTGACTAATGTGATAGTGACTCATCCATATCAGAACAATTTAACTGTACCTATTTGATTTCTTACGACTCCAATATCATTTCACTTCACTTGTTAATTTTATTTTTTTGTATGTATTGCCTTGGTATTCTTTCAAAAATTGTTATTTTGGGGGCTTAATGGCTGTATATGCTCAAAGTTTTCTGATAGATTTTATTCTCTTTTGATTTTTGATTTTGTACTCTTAAAAATATCAGTGTTGTTAGTGGTTCCTTCATTTGCTGGTAGATGGCAAATTTTAGCTTGTAAAATAGGGTCAAGTGACTGAATGGTGTTGTTTAATGATAGCAAATTTTTATATGTTAAGTAAGCCTGCTCCATATTATTGAAGCGGAAAGATCTTTTCTTTTTAAATGTGATATCAAGTTTATACTAGAAAGATTATTAAGCAGACATCAAATTGTACTGTTTATTTTATATTTTTATAATCATGTGAACGTCATCTAAAGCTTTATTCAAATATAAGAATTTAAATGAAATATTCTAGATTCGGGATGAAGCTTCTTAATACTGATTAGATAAGAATATGCTACAATCACTGTGATGATTTTAAATTCTTCATAGACTGTCTCTTACTTGCTTTGTATTCATACCTGTACCGAATGTTTACTTGAATGTTTATTTTCTGACTAGGTTTTAATTTTAGTTGATTATGGTGCTGTGAAATGTATGCTATTTCATGGCAATGCATTAAATAACTGTTCATTATACAAAAAGTTTAGAGTTTTCTTTTTTCCTAGTGCTCTTTGTGGGCTCAATCTGTACTAACTAGATAATGGCTACCGGTACTTTCTGCTCCCAACACTTCACAAGTTTACACCTTTCACTCGTTAGAAAAGGCCTTTTCTCATGTGTTACACCTATCCCTCTTCAGCGCAGCAGTCGTATTTGGCGCCCCACCCGGAACGCACTGCTGCCAACTGATTCAG